AATCTCATGAGAGAATCTGTATTTTTACCAAACTTCGAGGAGGGTGTTTGTAATTTATATTAATAAGATAAAATATTACATTTAAACTATAATCATTTTATTTTTTCTCTTATAAAAATCAAAACAATCAACCAAAATAAACTTTTTAGGAATGTTTGGGAAGTAGATTAAAAACTAATTTTTAAATTTTTTTTGACTTTTGTTTGAAAAAACGTACAAAAATATAGAGATGATATGACTTAAAAAAGTCAAAAAATAAAAAAACTGACTTTTAACCTAATTGCCAAAATTTTAATGCCAAATTAAAAAAAATCTCAATTCAAAAAAGTCAACTAAATAGGTTTTTACCAAACCATAACTATGTTGGAGATTGACAATGTTGGAAATTTCTTTGTAGTAGTTATTAATTTATTCTAGTTGATTGTATATATGGAATTTGTTATATATAATTTCTATGACTTCTAGTTTGATATTAACTCTGTGAAATTGCTCAGAGTATATTTAATCGTAAGTTGAGTAAACTATCCTAGAGAAATTTCTCCAAGTTTCAGTAAACAATTTAAGTTTCTACCACAGAAATTTCTTTGAGTTTCATCAAATTTCTCCAAGTTTGTTCACTGAAACTCGGAAACTAATAGAAATTTCTTTGAGATACTCGTTTGATTAAAAACAACAAAATATTAAAAAATAACATTAGAACAAGAAAGACGAACATTAAAGCTGAATTACCAAAAGTTTGAATAGTAGTGTGTATTTAAGTGTAATTTGAATAAATTAACTTGGAGAAATTCCTTAAAGTTTGTAGAATTTTCGTAAACTACTTCAGAGAAATTTCTCTAAGTTCCAGTAAAACAAACTCTGAGAAATTTATTTGAAATACTAGTTTGATTAAATTAACTCTATGAAATTGTTCCGATTGTATTTAAGTGTAATTTGAGTTAATTAACTCAAATAAATTTATTTGATTTTGTAATGTAAGTGTACTTTCAGTAATCAAACTCATTTTTATTGGAGTTTTTAGTTTAATAATTTGAGTAAACCATCTCAGATATTTTTCTTTGAGATTGTAATTTAGGTGTAATTTGAGTGTACTTCTACAGAGAAATTTCTTTGATTTTGTAATTTACGTGTAAGTTGAGTGTACCTCAAAAGAGAAATTTTCCTAAGATTGTAACTTAGGTGTAATTTGAGTACAGTCCCTCTAAATTTTCTTCAAGTTTCTGATTTCATTGACTTAGGTGTTATTTGTTTTTTTTCATATACTATCACAACTTTGATCAATTATGAAATTTCACTGACTAGCACAGTGTAACTTCACTTTGTCACCGAGTCACGAAAGATGGTCATAGGGGAAATTTAGTTGTGCTAAGTCAATGAAATTTCATTGTGCCAAAGAGTTGCCTAAAAATGATCACCGGTAACTTGCAATGGTCGTCGAAAAGTTATCGCCGACGATCGAAGGTTAATTTGCCGACAATCAGAAGTAGTAATAGCGAGTTAGAGGTAGTGAAGTATTGAAACTACACTAAGGTTAATTTTGCTTAAAAAAATGCTATTGTCTTCTAATTAATACAAAATATTGACGAGGAAGTTGAATAAAACCAACTACATTTTAAAATTAAAGTTAAGAAATTTTAAAATTTTAAATACAAAAAGTATAATTGCTTCTAAATTATTTATGCATGTTTCACATTTTAATAACACAACATATCGGTCAAGTGGTGATAAGCTTAAAAAATTCCATACTACTTTGGCCTCATTTATCTGTCATCAGTTAAAAAAGTCAAATATCACATCAATTTTTTCTCTCACAAAAAAATAATTAATCATTGCAATTTTTCAAAACTTTTTTAGTTTTTTAAAAAAGCTAAAAAAATCGATAAAAAGTTCAAACCTAAAAGAGGCATAATCTAGTAAAATTGTAGATCGTGGGACCTATAAAAATCTATCAACAAAATATATATATAAATAAAATTGTAAATACCTACCATTTTACAAATAATTTTTCTTTTTTGCTCAATATGTTTAAAGGGTTCCATCTGAAGAATTTGCTTTGAGCCTAAAAAATTCAGGACCAACCTTGTTCTCATGTACCAAGAAAAAGAATAAATATAAGTGGAGTGTTTTTAATTTTTTTGAATTAATTACCTCATGCTACAAGGAGGGATTAAACCCATTTTCATTATCAAATCCTAAAAAAGAAGAGAAAGAATAGTCAATTTCACGTTTCTTCTTCCATGACTTGACAGTTACCAAGCAAGTGACTAAACGACCACACACAACCACACTGTTTGGGGCGGGGGATGTGTGCGGGGTTTGTGCTTCTGCCTTAAGCAACCTCACTTTCAATGGGGTTTCCTATGCCAATAAAAAAAAAGAGGACCGACCACTAAGTCTCTTATTTTGAATTTATAATTCATATAGTTTTATATATATATATATATATATATATATTTATGATCTTTTTAGTCATTTTAGATATGTATTTGGACTTATAATTTATATAATCTTATATACATATATTTTTTTATGATTTATTTAGTCATTTTAGATATGTAATGACTCATTTATCCGTCATATTGAAGTATCACATTTAGAAAAAGTATATTAAATTTTTTTTAGTGTCACATCATACCTGCCATGTTAGAATGCCACATTTAAAAAAAATCGACTTTTTAATTTTTTTAGAGTATCACATTATACCCGCCACATTAGAGTGTCACATGTTACGTTTGGAAAAAGTATACTAAGGCCTCGTTTGGCAAGTGGGCTTTTTAGCCAAAAAGTCAAAAAGTAAAAAAATTACTAAAAAAGTCAAAAAACCAACAACCTATACAAAAAATTCAAAAATTTCATTTTCTCTCTACTTTTTGCACATCATTTCGTAAAAAGTTATCCCAAATATACTAGTTTTTTTTACATCATATTTTAGTCAAAAAGCTAAAAAGTTACTAAAAAAGCATATTCTCAAACGAGGCCTAAGGAAATTTTAATTTTTTGTAGAGTGTCACATCATACCCGCTACGTTGTCACATTTGAGAAAAACATACTAAGCAGTTTTTATTTTTTTTGAAGTGTCACATCATACCGCCACATTGTCACGTTTGAGAAAAGTACACTAATGAAGTTTTTTTTTTTTAGAGTGTCACATCATACCCGTCACGTTGTCACATTTGAGAAAAGTACACTAAGAGTTTTTATTTTTTTTAGAGTAAAAGTTTTGGAGTGTCATATCATACTCACCACGTTAGCACATTAATGAATTTTTATTTTTTTAGAGTGTTATGCATACTCGCCACGTTATCACGTTTGAGAAAAGTACATTAAGGAGTTTTTATTTTTTATTTTTTTAAAGTGTCACATAATATCCGCTACGTTGTTATATTTGAAAAAAGTACGCTAAAGAGTTTTTTTTTTTTTTTTAGTAAAAATTTTAGAGTGTCACATCATACTTGCTACATTGTCATCTTTAAGAAAAGTACACTAAGGAGTATTGTTGAAGTGTCATTTTAATACTTGTCACATCATATCTGTAACATTAATAAAAAGGATATAGTTGTCCACCAAAACACTAACAAAATAAAAAATAGGACCACACGGAAAAAAATTCTCTAGAAATAGACGTAACAGATCAATAGAAAAAATTTGAGACTGTGTTGTTGTTTGGTATGCACATCATCTTATTTGAGTCGCAATCATTTTATTTGGGTCATATCACTTCTTATTTGAGTCACATCACTTCTCTACAACATGACTTTAAACCCAACTCACATTTCACATTCTTTAATAAAAAGCCAAAAAGTATACTAATTACTTACGAAACAACCGTTAAATGGAGTACTTATTTGTGAGATGAGATTTATTAGTAAATATCCCTAAAAAAAATTATTAAAAAAAATTCTAAAACACAACCCCAAATACCTTGTTTGGTTTTCATTGACTTTTTGAAAATTGAATTTTTGGTTTTTCGTATTTTTTTTTTAATTTTTAGTGAATTTTTTTAATATTTTAAGTAAATTTTTTACTTTCGCATAACTTAGATGCACCTAAAAAATAAAAATTTTATGAAAAATATTTTTAAAAAATAATAAATACACAAGAATACAAAAATGTATTGTATTATATATATATACTAGCGTATGCCCGTGCCTGAAGGCACGGTGCAAATAATGTTGTGATCAAAATACAATTGTAATTCATACGTATCATATTAAAATTTATAGAGTCTGTAATATGTTTTGACAAAAATATTGAAAAAATATAAAGAAATACTATTCTTTTTTAAAAACTTAAAACAATTTTATTTACACCACACGTTTTACAGAACTCGAATAAAATGACAATGAAATTACCCAGAACTCTGGTGATGCAGCCCACGAAGAAGCACCGAAATACTCCCACTGCCAGTAAACAAATAATAATTTTGTTATTTAAAAATTTCAATAAAAACTAACAATTATTCCAATTGATATATATAATACTATCAAATAAATAATTATTATGTTGTTTAAGAATTTCAATTTAATAGTTTGTCCAACAAACAATAAAAGCTAAATAAATTAAGATTCTAAAAATAAAAATAATAATAAATACAATATTGTGATTTCTCATAAGTAGTGAAATTTTCGGACCCCTTTCCCGTGTTGGTGGTGGGTCACCCAAAGCTTCCTCTTTTTTTTAAATTTTTTTTTTTTTTAAGACTACACATTCTATCGCTTTTCTTGCTTGCTTTTTCCATCTAACCAATCACATTCCGCCCGCATATCCTTGGCAACAACTATAATTTATCTAGCAATAGATTTTAACACCTTATGATTTTAACACCTTCAAACTACTGATTTATGGACTAATAAATAGTACAAATCTAATTTATAGTGAGTTTGATGAGTATAAAATTTTCATTTATCGTAAAGTATGGGTTTCTAATCAGGTAAGTCCCCAGGGTTGGTCTGGAGGTTTAAAAATGTATCACCCATAAAAATTAAAAAATGTTTTACAGCGAGGCCAGCACTGTGCTTCGTATTGATGGGAACTCAAGAGAGACAGCCACGGCAATGCTGGTATTGTCTTTTTAGATTCTCTTTGTATGTTTGTGTGTGTATGTACTTAAATTTATGTATTTGAATTATAATTGAGGGTAGATTCCAACAATCAAATGATAAGAACTACACTTTTGAAGCAGGGAATGGGCATTCTGCTCTGTATGAAATGCATTCTGCTCTATGAAATGCTATATGGATACACACCATTTAGGGGAAAGACAAGGCAAAAGACATTTGCCAACATTCTTCATAAGGATCTTAAATTCCCAGGCGCTATATCGGTGGGATGATCCTCCATCTTCGTTCAAGTACTTTCTAATTTATGATAACTTTCAACTGTTTTCTTTTTAACAGAACCTAATTATGGTGTCTGATTATGACGATACAAGCCTACTTAAACAATTACTTCCTAAATTTACACACATAATGTGGATAGAAATTAATTTGTTGGAATTAGTTGAATTTTCACATAGTTTTGTTTTTTTTAAAAAAAAAATCAAATGCTGCAGCACGGGAATAACTTTTGTGCGTGGTGGTGCAGGTGAGTCTCTCAGCAAAGTAGTTAATGTACCGGTTGTTGCACAGAGATCCCAAAAACAGATTGGGTTCGCGCGAAGGAGCTAATGAAATTAAGTGACATCCTTTCTTCAAGGGAGTCAACTGGCCTTTAGTTCGTTGCATGGTAAAAATCAAGAAACCATACAAGCAAATCATTTTGCTATAATTTCTCTTTTTCTACCTCTGTTTTGTTTTATGTTTTCAATTTTATTAGAATATGTTTTGTTTTCTGTATTTTCTGTTTTCATCTTTCAGGAAAAACACAAAAAACTTATTTGGCAAGAGAAAAAGTAGGGATCATGAAAAAATTTTCATGAAAATGATCATGAAAAATTTATGACCCTTGGATTATCTTAATTAGTGTGTAGTGCTTTATTTTAAATGTAATCCAAATGTCATAAATCTTTCATGATCATTTTCATGAAAGTTTTTTCATGATACCTAGCATTGCTCATTTGGCAAAGTAAAGGCCAGTTGAATAAGATCTTCCCCAGGGTAATTACTATTACTATCTCCCGAGAACTTTCAAATAAGATCTTCTCCTTGCACCATAGAAGGCAAATTCTGTAAGACATAATTTTTGAAGTGATATCTCCAACTTTTAGTCAGTGTCATGCTAGGATGCAAGAAACATGGCCTCTTGTCCAAAATCTATTTAATATTGGGCTTAGGAGTTTATTCTGGTACTTGGTTATTGTAATTCATCATGTGGTAGAGAATTTTGAACTACCAATGTGATTACTTCTAAGGTATTGAATAATTTTTATCACATAATTGTTAGATGTTTTTATAAAAAATAAATACTCTTGTTTTTTAATTTTAATTATTAATCCATGTGGAAATTTCATAAATAATTTTGTGCGAGAGACTTGTGTTTCAATTGAAATTTATGTGTTTTGTTTCTTAATTGTTTTATAGTTGTTGAACATTTTCCGGCATATTAGCAATAGGTTACCCCCCTTGAAGTGGATTTCTGGCTTGGTGGGCTATGGGAATAATAAAATATATTGTTTTTTTTTTTTATCTAAAATGGGGAATTAAGTTTCACAGTTTTTGCAAGTTTGACTTAGTTTTTTATTAATCATATTACAATGTGCTTTAGGAAGACATGACTTGTGTCTTCATGCGAGAATATGCAAGCACATGATTTCATGAAATGTTGGAAACTAGTTCTTTTTTCAAAAGAGGGTATGAATCTGGAACAGTTTTTTCACACTCCACCGGATTGAAATTTGAGAAACTCAGCCACTGATTTGTAATTTTTTTCCCTGCTACAACTGGCAGTAATTCCCCAAAAAAACCCATGCCATGAAAATGTTGACAAACAGTTTGGCCCAAACCAAAGAATCACTAAAACCACTTTTCGATTAGCTTTTTTTGGTTTCAAAAGGTATGAAATTATTCACAAAACAATAATTACAGACACAAACTCAGAAAACAAGGAATCGGAAATCATATCATCTTCGTTTTGCAATCTCAAAAAATAAAAATTTAATAAATGAACCTGTAAAGATCTTCCATACAAAGGCCACCAGTATTATAATTGTATATCTCGTGAATCGCATGTTCCAAGATCTTCCAAGTCTTGTCTGCGTATTTCGAATCCACCCGATGTTTACAATCTTCTAACTGAGGAGGAGCACTCATCGTCTTTCCAATTCCCCACACCAAAATGATTGTATTTCGAAGATCCAATCCAAGGGCTGCTTTGATTAGGCTTTGAAAATTCACGATTGTCACTGAACTTAGTTTATGATATCATATATACTCAATAATATGGCCGGCGCTTTTATCCAGTCTACTTTGTTAAAGGGCCAGCCAGGTTGGAGAGCTCATTAGGATCTCTTTTTAATACTTTAAATCGTCTAATATGTAAAAATTATTGAGTATTTTATTATTGTAAAATGTTATATTAATTGAATATCGGTAGCATCTCGATCATATCATATTTTTATCAATGATAAATATGATTTTAAAAATAAATTATTGATACAAATATACTCTGATCAAATATTTTTCGATATTCGATCAACATGATTTATAAAAAAATGAAATACTTGACGAACTCTACACATTGAACTGTTCGAATTATCAAAATAAGACACATGATGAGCCATATAGACCCAATAGTACCATCCAATCCACAAAGTGGATTAGAGAAAAAGTCGTGCCCAATAGTATAAGTAAAATATAGCTCTATATTAGAATGCTTAAGAGCATCTCCATCGAAACCTTCAAAATTTGACATGTCAAATTTTTTGAAAGGCTTGGGTGGCAAATTGGCATATTCCTATTTGATATGAAAGCTTTTCATCTGATATGTCAAATCTATTATTGTATTATTTTTAAAATTTGAACTCTTTGTTTGAATATAAAAGAAAATGAAAAAATAAAAAATAAATCAAGGGGTCTTACTGTCAAAATTGGCATGAAGGGGTGATATTAAAAGTTACATCAGCTTTTGGTACACCGGATGGAATTGATACTTAATGTCAAAATAAGTTGTTGGATTGCCACATCAAATTTGAAGTATCGGGTAGAGATGTTCTAGGCCTCATGTCAATCTAAATAGCTGACATGTGTCATCCCTAATTAATAAGAAAATATCTTGTAAGTCTGCCTTATAGCTATTTTTATGTATATAGCTATTTTAGATTTTTATGTATAATATGGACGTCCAATGAATTTTAGAGTTTGGTTTTATTTTTATGCAAATTTACATAAATGTTTATATGTTGACAAGGCCATAGTTTAGATTTTTTGTTAGTGGAGGCAAAAATTTTCTTAAGCGTACTGTTATTAGCACTTCATCAATTATTTTGGATTTTTTATTTTTTTACTTTCTTTTTATTATAATAATAACCTCAAACGAAATTACTAAAAAGGACATCAATAATTTTGAGATACCACATCTCACAATTAAACCCATACACATATTACATTATGAGTTAGGGTTTATGAAAGTACACACTTTTATCACCACCCATTAATCTTCTCCAAATCCCACCTTTAAAACCTATCTACCCTCGAAACCTTGAAAATCTTTTAGTGACAATATTCCGGTGGTAATGGTAGTAGCCATTTAATTACCTACAGTTTTTCGACAATGACAATGAGTGGAAGTTTTTTTGACAACCACATATTCATGAGACGAGAATAATATAATAATAAAAATTCAGAAAAGGTTCATAACTTTGATGGTATTCTTAGCTCAGAGAAGATTAGTCTTGTAAGGGTAATGTTCTTGAAAAAAAATGACAAAAATAATTAGAACTATTCATCTTTTTTTCGAGATTGAACTCTTGAACATATGACTGAAATTCGAGAACACTGCCTCTAACATTGTTCATTTGTTCGAGACCTGGTAACCGAACATTTCTTATTTGTTCGGGAATAGATAACCGAAATTTGTAGAGATCACAAAACCCACAAAAGGCAAAATTTTGAATTAATAACAAAAAATCCAACATTTATTTTCTCAAGTCATAAACAAGTAATTTTTGTGAAAAAAATCTTTAAAAAATTCACTAAATACCAAAAATACAAAAAAAAAAGAAATATAAAAATTCAATATATTTTTCATATATTTGTGTATTTATTAAAATTTTAAAATATTTTTTCTCAAATATTTTACTTTTTAGATACATCTAAGTAAGGTGCATCTAAAATCAGTAAAAAAAATTACTTAAAATTTTAAAAATATTCACTAAAAATAAAAAAACATGAAAAATAAAAAATTCAATTTTCAAAAAATTGAATTTAGAAAATTAAAACCAAACACACTGAATATTTTTTTAAAACTTTTTATTGGCAATTTTGAGAAAAGCTTGAAAACCATATATAAAAGAAAATAAAATTTGAAAGCTTAGTGCCCCCACATACTCAGTTCATGGTTATTTTCTCTACTTGGTATAATTTATTGTAAGTTGTAAGTTAATAATCATAAAATCAAAATCAAAATCAAAAACACATTTTACTTAATTTTTAAATAATCAACTTTTTTTCCCCTGCTAAAATTTTTAGATAATCAACTTGTTTTTCCCCTGCTATTTATGCCTCATATTGTAAGTGGAAATTGCAATAAATAGTTTCGCCCAAATTCCGAAAAATAGAAAAGATTCCATCAGTTATTAGTTCACTAGGTTTGGCGAGGTGGTTTGGGACTATTTTAGTCACAAAAGACAAAATAGATTATTTTAGTCACAATAAACAAAACATCACATCTAACCTATAATCATTACATTATTCTCTCACAAAAAAAGTAAAAAAAGTTAAAAAGCACTTTCCAAACCAAATTTTGTAGCCCAAGCTAAAATAACTAAAAAAGTCAAAAAGTCAACCACTTTCCAAACGGAGGCTTTATTTTCTAAATCCATACATATTAACTCATCAATTATAAAAATTGTACAAATATACCATTTTTAAAGATGGTATGAAGAGGTTGAAAATGATATAATGTTATAGTTGAGAGGTTAAAATATATAAATTTACGGATGAAGAGTATAAAGTGATATTCGTTAATAGTTAAAAAAATCTTCATATAAATAATCCTAAAAGCATGCTATAAACAACTTAGGGTTAAATTCATTTTATCCCCTCATGATTTGGGATTATAGCACTTTATCCCTTACGGTTCAAACATTACCAAAAATATAACTTTATCCTTTCTGAAAAAATAAATTGAAATTAATACAACAAAAATATAATTTTATTCCCATTTCCTCCAAACTTAAAAATAGATAAATATATTAATTAAATTAAAATATAATTAAGGATTGATCTAAAATATAATTAACATTAGATTAAATGTTAAAAAGTACAATGAATAATTAAGAATTTAATACTAATGTATTCTAAAATATAATTAAATTAAAATTAGATTAAAAAATTAAGAATTACAATAAATAATTAAATATTTAGGATCTAAAATATAATTAAATTAAAAAGTTAAGAATTACAATAAATAATTAAGAATTTATAATTAATTGTGATTTAATTAAATTGATATTAGACATTATTATGTGTATGAAAGAGAAGAGAAAATGAAAATAACGAAAAAATTGCATAAAATTTGAAGGTATTATAATCATTTCTCATTTATAGTTAACAGTA